GAGAGAGGAGAGGAGAGAGAAGAGAGAGAGGAGAGAGAGAGAGAGAGGAGGATGAGGAGAGGAGAGGGGGAAAGAAGAGCGAGAGCGATGGCGATGAGGGAAGAGCGTAGAGAGAGAGAGAGAGACACGAGAGAGAGAGTTAAAGAGAGAGAGAAAGGGAGAGAGTCAGAGAGAGGAGAGAGAAGAGAGAGAGAGAGAGAGAAGAGAGAGAGAGAGGAAGAGAGGGTGGAGCGAGAGGCGAGGATAGAGAAGAGAGCTGGAGAGAGAGAGAGACTCAGGGAGAGAGAAGAGAGAGAGAGAGATTGAGAGAGAGAGAGAGCGGAGAGAGAGAAGACGAGAGAGAGGGAGAGGAGAAGAGAGAGAGAGAGAGTGAGAGAGAGAGAGACTTCAGGGAGAGAGAAAAGAGAGAGAGGGCAAGAGCAGTCTATGAATCTCGCGGCAGGAAGCAGCGGGTTAACTTCCCGCGGTCTCGAAGAAGCAGCAGATCTTGCATATGCGTTGTTAGCGTTAATTCACCGCCTAGCTGGCGACGCGTACTGTGACGCCGGCTGCGCGCGCTGCTGTCGTGATGCATGTGCACGCACGCACACCACGCACGCCTGCACGGCCACGCGCAGGCGCACAGTCACCGATACCCGACAATTTCTCTCGCGAGGCATATACTCTGCACAGCCCTGGAGGTGAAACCAAAATGTCGGCAGCCGTCACTGGGAGCGGGCTGGTGGTGGGCGGGGGCGGTGGAGCGGGAGGAGGGAACCCCCTACGCTTAGGCCGACTGGTTGCTGAACGAGCGTCTCACCATCTCTATCTGCGCGTCTCTTGTACACATAATGCTGCCCCGCTGCTTCTCAGTTTACGACGCAATTTTTCGGTTCGCGTTCTCGCTCGCGCGTTCGGGCAAACGGCAGACAGCTAAACCCTTTCACGATATTCGCTCACCGACCCTTCCCTACTCCCCGACTCGCTGACAATCAGGTGTCTGTCGTACCTACGTTCCCCCTGCCCACCCCGCACCTGCCCGAATATTCTTTCCCGCCGACTCATGATCACACGACCCTACGCGACAAAACAGAACACTCCTGGCGGACAGGACCGGGGCGACGTGTAAGTGGGAGGGGGCGGCACAATCGTCTTCTGGTTGTTTTTGTGATTGCTTGTAAACGTGAATTCCTGGTTGTAGACAGACTGTTGACAGCAGACTAACACTGCCTCGCGCAAGACAGTCGTGATGAGAAGGAAGGGGCGGGACAGGCGGATACTGTTAGTTTATGCTGATGCTGCTGCTGCTATTGCTGCTGCTGCTTGCTGCTGCTGATGCTGCTGCCTGCTACTACTACTACTACTCTGCTACTACTACTGCTGCTGCTTGCTTTTCTACGCTTCCGCACTCTACCTGGACACGTTTCATCACGCGACGCAGCGCTCACATAAACCTGTTCTGTAGTCCTCACTCCGTTACAAGGCCAGATTGCGTACTGGTGGTCAGCCGCGTCATCTAGTTCTGCGCGAGGCCGAGCCAAACCACTCACGCCGCCAGCTTGTTAATATCTGGCAATTCATTAGGCCAGCCATTTCTGGTGGATGAGATCTTTCAACGAGACTGGTGGTGCGTGACCCCCGCAGACAAAACCCCTGGGGGATGTAACCAGCAGACATCGGCCGTCAAACAAGCACCTTAACCCTTTATCTGCACGGATTGAACATCCTGCCAACCTAAACACTGAGCACTCGCCTAGCCCGCTCGCACTTCTGAAGTCGGGGACGAGAGAACAGAGCCAGTGTGACGAGAGAGAGAAGAGAGAGAGATAGAGAGCCGAAAAGAGAGAGAGACCGAGAGTCGGAGAGAGAGATGAACTGCGAGGAGATCGAGTGAGAGCGCGAGAGGACGAGAGAGAGAAGAGCAGAAAGATAGAGAGAGATCGCGCACACGGTTGTAGTCGGTAGTGAGGATTGCTGGCTTACTGCGACCAGAGCCGATGAACCTGTGCCGATCAGTGACAGCCCTATTAGACGAAGTCCGCGATAGACGTAAGGCCCGATAGACGAAGCTTTATTCGAGAAACGCAATTGGCTACACGTCCGGAGTGGTCGGTTCGCCTAGCCCCAGGCTTACGCATCGCGGACATCCACTTTGATGCGTATTCGAACCGCTGAAATCATGCCGCACATCCACCGATGCCTCACTATAAATCAATATGATGCACTACAAAACCATATATCTATGCCCTAAACCTAACCCTAACTGTAACCCTAACCCTTTGCAATATTCGGTCTATCGGACCTTCGGTCTATGGGCTGCCCCCGTGAGACCTGAGGTGGACCTGTGGACACGGCTAATCCGACTGACTGTGTTGACACAAACCAGCCCTGATATCATGTGTAATATAGCTAGACTGTGTGACAGCAAGCCAGCCTGGTGTCAGGTGTAGTATAGCTAGACTGGTCTGTGACAGCCAAGCCAGCCCTGGTGCAGGTGTAGTATAGCTAGACTGCTGTGACAGCAAGCCAGCCCTGGTGTCAGGTGTAGTATAGCTAGACTGTGTGACAGCAAGCCAGCCCTGGTGTCAGTGTAGTATAGCTAGACTGTGTGACAGCAAGCCAGCCTGGTGTCAGGTGTAGTATAGCGTAGACTGTGTGACAGCAAGCCAACCGTGATATCATGTGTAATATAGCTAGACTGTGTGATAGCAAGCCAGCCCTGATATCAGGTGTAGTATAGCTAGACTGTGTGACAGCAAGCCAGCCCTGATATCAGGTGTAGTATAGCTAGTACTGCATGACAGCAAGCCAACCTGATATCAGGTGTAATATAGCTAGACTGTGTGACAGCAAGCCAGCCTGATATCAGGTGTAGTATAGCTAGTACTGCATGACAGCAAGCCAGCCCTGGTGTCAGGTGTAATATAGCTAGACTGTGTGACAGCAGCCAGCCCTGATATCAGGTGTAGTATAGCTAGTACTGCATGACAGGCAAGCCAGCCCTTGCGTGTCAGGTGTAGTATAGCTAGACTGGTGTGACAGCAAGCCAGCCCTGGTGTCAGGTGTAGTATAGCTAGACTGTGTGACGGCAAGCCACCCTGTAACAGGTGTGGCGTACCTAGACTGTGTAGCAGTAAATTAACCCTGATATCAGACCTCGTATAGCTAGACAGTGTGACAGTGTACTAGCCCTGGTTAGCCAGACTGCATGACAGGCAGACTGTGATGAAATACCACATGTGATCTGCGTGAGATACCATCGGCATGTTCGCCTCATCCACTACAGCACTGAAAGCCTACTAGAATAAAATAGATATAGTCAGCAGTTTGCTCAGCATATCAATGAGAATGGTATCAGCAGTTTAACCCTCACATTCAGTACATACAAAATCAAGATATGGCACATCAAATACCTTCCCGTACGGGGTAAGGGCAGACGATGAATGCTGGGCTACATGGATTAAATTGAAATTCAACAAAGACAGTATGATCATGGCAGTCACTCTAGAGCAAGTAGCAAGTAGGGCCTATATACACAATAATAAATAGTACAACACAGCCAGGACACAATAAAGACTGAACGCATGGTTGGACACTGATCACTTGTCTCATTTTGGCTTTTCTGCTGTAGAATTAGTTGCAATCTGAATACTTCTTACAATTTTCACATGACGCCCATTGACTACACGATTTTAGCAACTGCAGCTTATTTCAACACGTGTTTTACCCGTTTACTTTTTTGAATAAATTGACAATGTTTATTAAGATTACTGATAGCTATATATGCATACGCACTCATCTCAACTGTAATGTCTATTCAAACACACACTAGCAGTATTTTAACGACAGATCCAGACAGCCCTTCAAATGTGTGAATGTCAGGAAGTTAGAAGACAGTTTCCGCTCGCCCCTCAGCCAGCCACTATGAGGACGTTTCACAGACGGGAGAACCGGCGGTATCTGGTGGAGGTTACATCCTAGACATGACCTCCTAGGGATAATTATAAACTTGAAAGCAGTAAACAAAGTCCACTAAATGCAAAACGTGTGCCAACAAACAGAGAAACCCACGGAACCTACATCTGCCTTCGATAAGGTGCGCTGCAAGAGCAACCTCTCACACTAGCATGTTATATAACCCTTTACAAACAGACTCTGCAATATTGGCAGCGCAGTGCTAGGCAGCATGCTGCTGCAACACTTCTCATGTAGCTACTGAGCTCTAGCTTCTAATAAATCCTGATAACATGAATTATCTACGAATACCGTAATATATAAAATATCTGACTGCCAGTCACAAATGTTCTCTCAACCCCAAGTATCTGTAATGAAGTGCAGCCACGAGGAGACAATGAGATGCGCCACCACACAGATATGTGACAGGCTTGCCTAATCCAAGAACAGAACAAGGCGGTAAGTTATAAATTGCTCGCAATCTCACCTAGAACACAAATCATCTTCACGAACTTATCTCGTTCACTAATATCGTCGTGAGTTCTCTCGTTCACTAATATCGCCGTAATTGGAGTTCTTTCGTTCACTAATATCGGTGTGAGTTCTTTCGTTCACTAATATCGGTGAGTTCTTTCGTTCACTAATATCGGTGAGTTCTTTCGTTCACTAATATCGGTGAGTTGTTTCCACTGAAATACCTAATACGCGTTTGCGGCAACACTTACCGAATGAGAACTTGCAGACACGTCCTCGTTGACAGTTCCCCTAACGGTTGTCACTGCACACACTGGTGTGGCAGGTGGCTGACTGACCAGCATCCGGGTACTGATGTGTCTCCGAGTTGCATCTAAAACAAGCAGACACGCGTTGGTCAGGTAGCTTACACCTACTAATGCCTACTGCAACGGGTAAACCTCCAGCAAATATCCTGTGCAAGCCACAGTGTCATATTGGCACGCAGGTACTGCGAATAAAAATTGCAATCTGGTGTGCAGCGCTATATCTATATTCCACATGCATACAGCTTCGAGATTGTACCCTGTAAAATGCAACCTGTCTGGAATTCGCGCGTTAGCATTATTTATCTATATTTAGTTCTCTGGTCGTTGTCTGTGACACTGGCGCAATAAAACTAGCAGAATCTCACGAGCACTCACACGGGGGGGTAACTGTAAAGATTTGATGCGTACTCATTCACGAGAGACGTGGGAGGCTGGGTAGCGTGTATGAGAGACGTTGAGGGTGAATAAGGCAAATAAGAAGAAGATGGCGTGATCAAGACATCTAACTAGAACTTAATATACAAATTACATTTTGCAATTTTCACAATCAGTACTATACTCGTTGTGATTTTTACTAAGTTCAATCACAACCATGGCATCTGTGCTGCTTGCCACTCTAAGCTATGAATGAACATGCACATTCGGTCCCGATTGTACACCAGAAATAATTATTAGCACAAATTAAGCTATATTTTCTAAGAGCACCATGCATGTACAAAGCGTTGCACATAAACAGGCAGTGGCAGTCAGATACACATTTTGTTTATCACGAGTTGAAATGTTGACATGCCGCCACATGCAGCCAATATGTAATACGCACAATACAAAGACGGTGGTCTAGCTATGAATTTTGAATATCCACCTTGAGCTGGTTAAACACTAATTTATTGTTGCAATTTTTGAAGCAACTGCCCCTTTTTTGATACATGGGAGGGAGGGAGCGCACAAATATGTACTTTTAACAGTAATATCGACAGTACACGCGAGTCTCTCTCAGACTGAACTACAATCGGTTCCAGAAAGTTTTGCAGTAAAGGAACTTCCAATTAATGCTCCAAGCATGCAACCTAATAGATGTAATATCGGAAAACCATGGTTTACAGACCTAATATCCAGGTACTTATTATATTATGCAATTCATTTACTAGCGTCATGTCACTTAACTTACTTAGACGATTCAATGCGATAACGACTACTTAGTACTACCACGAAACGCCACAACAGCCACAATTCAGTCAATGTCTCGATAAACGAAACCATCATGATCGGAAAATACGTCGATAAACCTAAGCAGTGTATACACTCACATGACGTTTTCCATTAATCTCAGTAGGGTGATGCACACGATAGATGGTCTGCTGAGTAAGCACCTCACGGCTAAACACATGCAAGCACATCCCACCGTTGCGGCCGACATCTAGTATGCTGATTGGTGGAAGAAGCAGGCGTTTTGGCGTTTTTTGCACACTTGCCGGCTGGAGTGACGAGTACACATAAACCACGAGCATGTCTGGCTGCTAGCGCAGCAGCGTGTACAGCATCCATGCGGCCCTGCCTACATCCTCAGAGCTGTGAAGCCTGCTGCACGGATGGCAGCAGGCAACCACGCATGCACCGAATTCACTGCTCAATGGCTTTTTTCACATCGCTGCCTGGTGCTATCACAGTCAGACACGACTAACGTCCAGGACATGCAAAACGCAATTGCCAGCAGAATCTCCGCACGCTGAGAAAACCACAAAACAAGTGAGCAGCGTCTTGTCGAAACAAAGCCGCCCGCGTACAAAGCGCGCGAAAACATGGCGGCCGCCGCGCGGCGGCCGTAACAAGAACTTCGCCGCATCGAATTAAAAACTACACACTAGTTGATAAACCGCAGTTGATATGGTCGGCGAAGACATTAAAAAAGGCGAGGAGATCATGTGCGAGTGATAGATCAAGGTTGAGTAACCGGTTGCAGAGAGCCACAGTGTGTGTGATCCTCACTCGAGACAACTGCGCCGCCAGACCTCATCTCAACATGGCTACACACACGACGTGATATGCATCGCAATATCTGTGACTCCGGACAAAGGCGGATGGCGGCGCTCCCTGGCTCCTCGGCGCACCGTCTTCCAACGGCCAATTCGTGCGCGAATACGTCAAAATCGCTCAATTTTTAATTCCTCTCGCCAGTTCATTATTCATGCAAACTAATTAAAGGAGTTCAGCAAAGGATGCCGGGAGAGTGACTTGAAAGACTGTGGAAATGCTCCAGTGCCATTCTACATGCCCGAGGATTTTTATAATTCATAAGTACAATGGTGGATACCACCGCTTTCCTAAAAACCGTCTGTTACTGAGACCGAGAAAACAATTAGTGCGGCTTCGGGGAAAAACTCACCGACTACCTGCAAAGTCTCAAGATTAATCTGCAGGCGGCAATTTCACGAGCGAGTAAATAACAAAAGCCGAAGTGTTCGCCAACCTAACAACCACCTTGCCACATAGTCAGCCGACTATCTATATGCACATTAAAAATTACTCGCTTTATTTATTCACATCCTTTAAAAGAATGCAACGGCAAACAAAGCAATAGGACCTTGCCTAGAAACCGACCGAAACAATGAATTTGACTCGCTCTCACTTGAGCTTTACAGATAGCACCTGGCCCATGTATGATTTTATGCATATAGGGTGTCAACGCGTGTGCTTTCCGATGCTACGGCTGTGCGCAGGAGCGAGTGTGCGTGTTTATTTGACATCTTTATGAACATGTTGTTCCATCATGTATGATAACGCAAAGTACAAACTATGATCAACCCACACCTGACATTCAGTAGTGAGTTCAGTGACAGCAAAAAACGGGGCCACCAGACAGTTGGCAGTGTATTAAAGTGCAAACTGTCTAGACAGAATCAACCCACTGCCACCTATTTGCTCAGAGAATGCAGAAGTAATCTAACCTGGCAACCATGACCATTTTAAACGGGCTTACCGCTCGGCAATGGTTACCAAAATATTCTTTTAGATGACTCACTGCCGGATATTTTACTTAGAGTCAAAGGTCTGTAACGGACGATGGCTAATTAATTGGATACATATTTTAGAGAGCCTAATACAAATAAAGTGCGCGATGGAAAAGTTACTTGCTGCACGCAATGACACCGAATTTACAATGCATACTGGTGTTATATACCAGAAAAATGGAATTAGGTTGGGGGAATTTTCTACGTTATAGTTACATGTAGGATTTATGCAGGTGTAAGCTTTTATTGACAAATGCAGTGTTATCATCTATCTATCATACGGTGTTTCAACTTCATCTTTCAGTTGATTTATTACATTACATTTGAAGAAAAAAACTCTCGTTACCAACATGAAATAGCAGATAGATAAGCTAACCCAACAAATATATTAAAGTTTTCTTTCAGGTGAAATCAAGAATTGTGCGTTTACACACAGCAGCTTTACCATCAATTGAATCATTTAATTTCAATTGCCATCGAACATGGCAAAATTGTTAAGTATTTTCCTTAAAGCCTCCCACGTCAACCTACTCAAATTCGGAGGCATCATGGAGATAATCAGCTAGCATTTGCTGTGGCCTCCACCGTTTATTGCCACGAGTCCTGACTGCTACATAGCAAGTCAAAAGCGGTGATCAGTAGGTAATTACCAGTGCCACTTGCTTATATTTTCCTATATCCATGTACCATAAACATTGTCACGTAACATTCTTCTATGATTTCACCTACTAACCAACCATTACTGCGGAGACAATAACGAGTGGGCAGATGACGTCACAAAGCTCACGCAGCCTCCTCAAGAACTTTTCATTGAGCAATCAACGTACATGATTTATTGGTACACGAACACTATATATATAAATATATATATATAGATCGATGAATTTCACAATTTTCAGCATTTAGTGCATACACCCAGTAGCTACGTCACACTCGTCTGTCGGACTTGCGAGAGAAATGCTAACTAATGCCCCCCCCCCCCCGATATGGGCAAGCTGCTTCAACGCTAACCGCTTATCACTCATCACATTTCACAGACAATTTACATTTAACTTGATCCAAACAGTGGGCATCACGAATATCGATTTCAAAGCAGGTAGAGTTCATCAAGCATGAACACTAAGAAACAAGAGACTGCCCGTGCATGCACAGATTCGAGTTATATATATTATATATATATATATATATATATATATATATAGTTTACTGGGCTGTCAGAACTATACGACTCCTCATCACTACAATCACTGTGCAAGCTATACAGAGTAAAGTTTAAATTTTGACGACTATCAAAAAATCACCATGTCTCTAAGTTCCGGGCGTAATATCAACCGCTGTAGCAGAAACCGAGAGTGGAAAACGAGAGTGGAAAACGAGAGACACAAGAGCGACAAAAGCAAGAGCAAGAGTGAGACATACGAGCAGGATAGTTTCAAAAACAAACGTATAGTTTTACGATTAATTGCTGCAATATGCGTAGATTTACGCGAGCGACCCCGGACCTCAGCCCCACTGTATTGTTCTCATGGCCACACCGTGGCTGAAGCACGGTTCGTCTCGTCTAATTGATTACTATAATTAATGACGCTTGCTGCGCACCCGGGCATGCAAGAAAACAACAGGGCAGCTCGATTGCCACGGCCTCTCATTGGCTAGAGCTGTTACACCCCCATCATCACGCATAGATTACCCAAGGCATAAAATTTTAATTGTGCAACCCAGTTTTGAATGCAAAACTTTTTTAATTGCTGCTCGCTGTAGAATTGGAACCTGAAATTTGCTCCCAACCTATAGTCGCGAGGCGCGGCCGTCCGAAAAAAAGAGAAGCAACGCCACTTGATGGCTATCTGATGTGATGCAGACAGCAAACTTTCCCACAGAAATTGAACTATCATGTCACTTGGGGGCCACTTTTTTATGAGGCTCGAAAAGCAAGGAAAAATGTATATCAAACAACACCTGTTCAACTTGGTTGGCCAGAAAGCGCGGACCGCGTCGCATGCACACACTGGCTACCACTGTAAACGCAGACACGAAATAGGAGCTCGCTCGCCGTA